TCATTGCAGTATTTGTACTCTACTGTCGCGTGGATGGGTTTAGTCTTTCGGGTGTCCTGTTTTGGCATCTTATTTGGCTACCCTCTCTTGTACATTTTTTTTAATTAAGAGGCAAAGCTCCTATAATTATTTAAAAAAAAACATCTACACAGACCGGACATCGAAGCAAAGAGATATATATACACCACCCGTCCCCAAAAGATAACGTTTTAACTATGAAAACGTCATTCTTTTTTGGACGGGAAAGAGTACAAATTAATGGAACAAAATGGCGACGAGACAGATCGTGAGATCGATCGACCTAGAACATGAGCCATGTCCCTTTTGGCAGGAACAAGCCAAAGGACTGAAGCTTTTTGTCCTGCCTCTCAAATCATGGCCACATTTCTTTCGACCACATGGACAAATCGAGTCGATCCCTTGACGCAGCGACAACATTGCATTCGTCTGGACTTTGGAGACAGACAGAGGAGTCCATGGCACGCAAGAATCAACCATGATTGTCTATGATGGACATTCATAGGTCATATATAGACGTGCCAAATTGGCTCCTGTAATGTAACTGTATATATCCGTCGAAGATCAGTAGCATCTATCGTTCTTCCTTTACCCACACGCTGATCGATCTGCTGAAGAATGAATAGGGACGTGCAATGCACGCTGTTCACAGAAATGCATGGTCTCCTCAAGGTGCATTGCTCCAAAATGCTCCTCTTTTTTTTTTTAGAGAGAATATAAATTTTTGCCTGCTCAAGTTATACTTTTTTTCATAGAAAGAACAAATGCTTGCCTCTTGTTTGTTCTGTTATGATAAAGACAAGTGGAAGCATCAATCGATACACATATGATGATTCCTCTCGAAAACAAAAATGAAGCATCACTATGTAAAAGAATTTAAGGTACAAGGCCAAAATTCTTGTCCATTGCAAGGAATGTAAAACAATAGTACGCATTGACGCTAGTAAGAGAATTTGGAATTCGCATTATTAATTAATTCTTGGTGCATTCGTAACCTAATAATGTACTAAATGCTTGCAGGTGATACTTGTGGCCAATGTGGATTTTGGTTGCATTAGTTTTGTGTACTTGCTCACTCTGGTTGGAACGAGTGAACGTGGTGCTGAACGCTGTAGAGCTGTAGACCTCTGTAGGCAGAAATGACCTTTAACATTTCAAGGATGGCAGGAAAGTGGCTAATTTGTTCTTTAACATCTACATCAATTTGGATTTTGGGATGGATATGGCGTTTATAAATAGTGTTAAACATGAACTAATTAGGCTCAAAACGTTAATTTCCCACCAAAAACTATTATTTTTAATGTTCTTATGGGAAAACTGAACTAAATCGACCTAAGGCTTCTGGCCGAACAAGAGAAGAAAATGAGCATTTGTCCTCTTAGTAAAACAACGTGTTTGGTTCCTACCCTCCCACTCATAATGGTAACGATAACAATATTTCACCTTATTTAGTATGAATTTTAAATCGGATTTAGCAGAGATCTAACATTTACGCCTAAGCCAACTTCTTATGATTTTCCTTGTCACTCCAAAAGGATTTGTTTTGCATAGGCGCGCGCGCGTGTTTAGTTGCTAGGAGGCAATTGCACGGTTACTCAGGCGGACAAATTAAGGCGGGCTAAGCTCCCTCCATTCCACACCTTACCAAAAGCTTAATCAAGCGAACTAATCTAATAATTTCCAGGACAATTATTATGCTTATGCACTGATGCACATGCCATTGCATTAAACAACCTTTTGGTACGGGGAATTAAAAGAACAGAGGAATGAGCAACAGTGTATGAGAAATATGCTTTTAAAAAAATGCAAAACAGCTTACCAACGCCATTATATTGCAACAGAAATCAAGTGAAAACCTAATAAACACTCTTGAACTGGCACATCAAATCAATATAGTATAACAAAGAACAACCCCCCCAAAACTTGCAGAACCCTCTGAACTCAATTGAGCAGTGCCATAACCATTGCAGTGCCTCTTTATATATACTCCTCTTATAAATAAAAGAGTAATGAAGGTGCTGACGCCGGTGCACCGACAGGGTGCAGAAATTGAGCGGTGGGAGTGGAAGGGGAGGGGAGGATCCGGCAGGAAAGGGACGTTGGCAGTGCCCGCACACCCGCCCTGCGTCAACCCCAGTTGCCAGTGGCCAGTGGCCAGTGGATCGGACGGACGGCACCTCGCTGTTGCCTCATAGTTGAGGCGTCGCGGGCCTGTTGCAGCGCCGGCCGGGGCCGGACGGCGACCCCCTAGCTAGCGCGGCGACCGGCGATGCAGCTTCTCCACTTGTGAACAATGTGTGTCTACGGCACGTCTTGCGCTGTCGGTCGGTTCGCTTCTCGTCGCTGCTTTCCGTGTTGGCGTGCAACCATAGATTCTGCCTGCGTGGCAGTGTACACGCGCCGCGGATCTCAAGTATATGTGATATGTGCCCAGCGAAATGTTCCGAGACCTGAAAAACTTCCCTTCCAACATGAAGATATCGACTCTCAGGTCTTGTTTAGTTTCTCTCTCTAAAGTTTACTTTCTATTTTATTGAATGTTTGACATATGTATGGACTATTAAATATAGACTAAAAAATAATTAATCATACAGTTTTACGACTAATCTGCGAGACGAATATTTTAAGTCTAATTAGTTCATGATTTGACAATGTGATGCTACATTAACACATGTTCTAATGACATATTAATTAGGCTTAATAAATTCATGACTAATTTGTGAGACGAATCTTTTAAGTCTAACTAATCCATGATTTGACAATGTGATGCTATAGTACACACATGTTCTAATGATATATTAATTAGGCTTAATAAATTTGTCTCGTGGATTACTGACGGTTTCTGTAATTTGTTTTTTTATTACTATTTAAACACCCCATGTAACACCGACGCGACACATAAAAACTTTATCCCTAGATTTAGACAAACCCTTAATTGCCTTTTCCAGCCTCAAAGAAGCAACTGAGTAGATGTTTGCTTACTTGTTTCAAAAAAAAAATAGATGTTTGCTTACCGACAGTACGGCTCAGCAGGCTTCAGCAGAAAGGCACAACCTACCTAGCGAAGCAACGACAATTGCATTGCAGGCACTCCTTTGACACCCTGTAAAAAGAAGATTTTTCGTCATATCAAATTTACGGTACATGCATAAAATATTAAAAGTAGACGAAATTAAAAACTAATTACACAGTTTAGTTGTACTTTACGAGACGAACATTTTGAGCCTAATTAATCAACGATTGAACAATTATTACCAAATACAAACGAAATACTACAGTGACGTTACAATACATTTTGTCAACTTTGAACATCCAAAGTTAAGTTTGGCGACTTGTTGGCCGCACAACTGCTTTGCAATGGGCAGGGCTAATGGGCTAGGCTGCGTCAACGAAACATAGCGTCACTGTAGCAACAGGCCATACTCCCTCCGGGCTCGTTCGTTTCGGTTGAAACCCGGGCAGGAACGATTCCGGTTGCCTAAAGCTTATTCAAATTAGGTAACCAATCCGGCCTAGAATATTTCCTGGGATCCGTTCCCCTTCAAACGAACGTGGCCTTAGGGAAGTGCTAGCTAGCGCCCAGACTACGCCTGCTCTGTGCCCTCTGTTTCCCACGCGCACGAGTGGCATGCCCACATTTGCTCAGTTGTGCGCGCACGCGGGAAGCCTGTGGATGCGCGGCGCGGATGTGTCTGCCGACCTCAGGCACCGCAGGGTAACCCGGCGCTCCAGCAGCTGTGGCAGGTGGGTGCCATCGCTTTATGTGTAACCTCAGATCTACTTTTACAGTATTCTAATGAAACATTTACAAACTATGGTTGAAATAGCTGAAACATTAGAAACATACGTCTGAAACACTTGCGAAACACCCAAAAACACTTGAAAGTCATTGCAAATATATGCAGCATCCAGGTCTACTTTTACAACATCTAGATGAAAACACTTGCAACATATGTATGAAACACTGAAATATACACTTGCAACACACATGTTATGCAATATTCAGATCTACTTCTGCAACATTTAAATGAAACACTGAGATCGTACGTCTGAAACACCTAAAACACTTGAAACATTGCTTGCAACATGAAACGTATGCTTGCAACATGCATATATAGCCATTGCAACATATACAACATTCAGATGAAGCACTTGAAAACATACGTCTTAAACACTATAAACACGGCATCGCCGGTGGAGGGGGATGACCTGAGGCGCCCTTGCATGTGCGCCCAACGGTCATCGGCAGGGGCGGCGGTGGCGGCAAAGCATCCCGGTGGTGCAGGGGTTGGGGAAGAGGTCTGCGTGGTCGGCTTGGGTGGAGGAAGGAGGCGGCGGTGGCGGCGTGGGGCTGCTGCTGCTAGCGAACACGAGAGAGACCGATAGATGGGGAGAGCAGAGGCAGCGCGGCAATGGATTGGGTCACGGCAGGGGATGGCCGCAGCAGTGAGGCAGAGTGGAACGGGCGGACGGTGCGTCCAAGCCACGACAGACGAGCGGAGAGTGAAAATGTCACAGGGTGCAGCGTGTCCGGACGGACACCCTATTTCAAGCATTACCACACCAGTTACCAACGACAAATATCCCCCCAAGACCTCTGCATTCACTGCCAATGCGCCGTTACTGATGCAAACAGAACAGTTCCAACCCGCCATTCTGTGGAAGCTTGCAGAGAACTCAAGCTTGTGAGGTTTCCCATCAGATATCTTTCCTTTTTCATCTGGTGTAACAACTTTCACTATACAGAGACAAAGATCATACAACCTTCATCTAGTGACTAGTGAAACAACAAAAGGCAGCTTTCAGCCTTTCTTTCTTTATACTTGTCATCACCAAACTGTCTATGAACAAAAGGATTAAGGTGCATGAACAAAAGAAAAAAAAACGAGAAGGATATCTGCAGCACACAGCATTTTCCGCATCACCCACGGCAGGACAAACTCAACCCGACGGCAGCACATCTATGTAGCTGTTCCGTTCCTCTAGGGTTGCTTTATCGTAAGCTCGGCTCTCAGATGCAGCATCCCGTCGATAAAGAAGAGGCTGTCATCGGCCATGAACGTCTGCCATGGGATTGCAAAGAGATTCCTGTACCCAACTGCCTTTCCACCGGTGAATGTGTAGTTACCCTTGTACTTGCTCACAAACTCGCCGGATGGTCTCGTCCTTGCAGCAAACTCATAGTCCACGGTCACGCTCATTGAGCCCTTCTCTTGCATCCCCAGGAAGAGGCCAAAGCAGTAGAACGTGCTTTGCTGCTCCATGTTACAGTGAGCTGAGAGGAAGAAGCCCTGACCTGCGAGGTGGAACGCTTGCGAGTATATCCTGCCTGCAGGAAAGAGTCGAGAGCACTCCTCGCGCTTGAGGTCCAAGTATGCTATGCACTGTGGGTAGGGCCGATCAAACTCAACGACTTTGAGTGGTCTGTACTTGTAAGCCCGCTCAGCGAATTTCCGACAGGTTATTGTGTCCGCTGCAAGAGCTCGTTGCCGGTGTGGTGCATCAGCTTTGTACAGAAGAGCCTCGGTGACACACTTGGTTGCTTGCTCATGGTCTATATCCGTGCATGTTAGGACCTTCCGCAGCTTCCTACATGTCATGTGACTGAATCGCACAAGAGGGAGCAACCGAGAACTAAGGATCTCACGTCTCTCTTCTGATTTCGGGTATTGTGCACGGGCCCATCTGAGCAAGAAGTCATAGATCGTATCTTCAGATGCCACCTGGAGGTCATTACTTGACAAGATGGCTTCAATTCCAGCAAGAGGGATGTTCATCACTTCATCTTGGAACCTGAAATGAGAAGAAAAAAAATCACCTTCAGTACGTTCACAACGATCTTGTCAGAACAGTCTTGGGCTAAACTTTCCATAAAGTAAAAATAGGTCTCCATCCAGTGTATATCACTCACTTAGTCAAATCCTTGTATTTTACAGCAAGGAAATCCTTAGCTGCATCTGTCAGTGGTTGAACTGCAGCTGCCATTGAAATTGAGCAGGGAAGATCTAGGTAGAGAAGTGCAGATTCTGTGGTCATCGGCAAGCTTGTGAGCAACTGGCTGCAGTACCTCATGCATGAAACAACCTCAAATTTGTCGGCAGCCATCAAGATATCCAGCAGAAGAGTGGGCTCAGTAGTTGTCAACTTTCCACTATACATAAAGCTTAAAAGCTCCATGAGGGCAGTTTCCTCTGTTCCAAGAGAATTAAGAAGAAAAAAAAAGGATGACGCACAAAGCAAATATTGACTAGAGAATGATTTCTCTCTCTCTCTCTCTTGTGTGTGTGTGTGTGTGTGGCAACTGGTTCTCAGAGAACAAATGACAAAAGCTGTAAATAAAATGTTCTTTGCATATATAAGCAGGATGTTCTAGTTTCCCAAAGTTGTCACATTACCTGAGTCAGTAATTCTAAGGGTTGCATATCTCTGATCCGATTCTTTCATGCCGTTTGAGAAAAGCTAAGAAAAACACATTAAGCTTATCAGAAAGCAGCATTGACTGGAGTACATATCAAATGCATTTGAGGAGGTTACCATAACTCCATAACTACCTTGAAAAAGAAAGGACTCTTCGCAGCAAGAATCGCCGAACTGATATAAATTGTCTTGACTCGTAAAACTGGCGTACCGACCACAGTCCAAGATGAATCAATACCTTGCCCATCATCACCTGCTAATAACAAGGTCAGAGGTGTATAATGGGTAAACAGGGAAGGAAGCAAAGGGTACAAAAAGGTGAATTAGACAGATATTCTGCAATCAGAACACTTGGAGCAAACTGTTTGTTGCATCCAGATTAGTTTTCTACCTTCAGAAAGACAGTAATCGTTGTGGAAAAAAAGAAAGACAGAGTAATGGGAAAATAAAGAACAAAATTCTAAAAACATGCATTCTGCAATCAAAACACTTGGAGCAAACTGTTTGTTGCATCCAGATTAGTTTGCTACCTTCAGAAAGACATGGCAATGGGGAAATAAAGGAATTTTAATTTTAAAAAAAACACAAATAAATACTCATTTTGTACGCTTTTAGCAATCTAAGCATGCTTATAGCTCACCAAGTAACAATCATAGATGTTTACCAACCAAGAATCAATTTATAGAATAAGTAACCACCTAGTTTGTCAAAAGATTGCACCTAGCTCACCAGTGAATGTCACATTGTGCAACTAAATTTATAAGTTCTTCCTACAAACCTATCTAGTTTTTTGTTAAATATATAGAACTAGCAATCAGCAGATTTGAGGTAATGATCAAGCAGAATAATTGAACAAATTGTATGACATCTACAGCTTTTGTGCTCAGTTTGGGGCTCAAATAAAAAAACATGGCAATTCCAGAAATAAGACAGCTTTGGGCTCCAAAACAGGGCCAGCTTAAAATTTTGGATGTTTCGATTTAAGAATTTAGTCTTCGATTTTTGGAATGTAACCTACTACTACATTCCAAATTATAAGTCACTTTGACTTTTTTGGTTCATCCATTTTGCTATGTATCTAGACATATTATTTATCTAGATGCATAGCAAAATGGATGTACCAAAAAAGCCAAAGCGACTTATAATTTGAAACGGAGGGAGTACAACTTAAAAGAAGCATATCTAGCAACAAGAATGAAGTTATCAAAATAGGGGGTGAAAACTGAAAAGGTCTCAATAGGAACTCAGGAAGTGCATTAACAAACTGCAACCAGGCTCATCCTGATTGCTCAACGATTTTTGTAAAAATCTCAATCTAACTTAACCTCCAAAAAGTTCAATTCATTAGGACAAATAAAATTTCATTAAAAAGTAAACTTGCCAAAAGCCTAAATAGACAATAATTTTCAAACAGCAGGAACTTTTGCCTAACTTCACTAATAACCATAAAAATATCAATATTATATTCACAAAAAAAAAATTATTAGGGATGCAATTTATGGTTATACAAACCTTCTTGGCCAACATCGGGTGGAGATTCTTCTATCATTGCTACAGGTTCCTCTTGATTTTCTTCATATGCATCACACTCTTCTGCTTCGACTTCATTGCAATTTGTTTGGTCTGACATGTGAGTTGTAGATTCTACAGAAGAAATTGATAATTAAAATAAATCACAAAAACGAAGATGAAACTGGCATAGCCGAAAATCAAATGAAACAACAAAGGATCGCAATAATAGAACAAACTATAGTATAATAGGAAACATTGTTGCATAGTAAAATGGTTGTATATACACAACAGTAGCATTATTAAGGGGGAAACGGATCATAAATCAAAATTTAGCATCCCTAAGCAACACCATGACTTATATAGCTAACGTGGAGTCGAAGTGGAGTATGGAAAATGTCATAAGCAGAAGAAAGCAATGCATTGTGACTATCAGGATCACAAGCCTACTGAATATTATCTATAAAAAAGTATAGAATTTTCAGAAAATCATTTGTATCTTGATTGAAAATTAGCAAATTACACCACCCCCATTATGTCATTTCAAGAACCTCAATCTTGTGGTCTATTAATCTGGGCTGTTGCTACCGGTAAAAAATATTATTTCACAAAATCCACCAGCAGGAACATGATTGCAACTCAACATTTATAACCTTCTGACCTTCAACAACTTTTCATTTATCATTACAAACATCATTGGTTTAACTGTCATATATTCTTTATTGAAAATTTGCTTTTGAAGGTTAGAGTGAACATTGGCAATTAGAACGATGATTATAGGAAAAATGACAAACATTATTTTATATAACTACTCGATAACCAAATTACACACCTACAACAGGAAAACTACCCATAAACACATGAATAAGAAGGTAATGCAGCAATTAATTTCTTTAAGGAAGGTAACTCAAACAAAGATTTTTTTTCACAATTTCCCATGCTAATCCTCATACATAAATATATGGCTGAAAGGAGGAAAAGGGGACCATTACAAATTAGAAAATAAGAAATTTTAGACACTGCCAGTTGGACTCTCGATCATCTCAATGCGCTTGTTTAGGGTACCTTATTATGTATTATGAACATAGTTATCAAGGCGGTAATGCGAGATAAGGCAGCTGATTACCCGCTTGGACACTTACAAGCGCTAAAGTATAAGACGTGATGACGCCATACTAGTATGCCAGGCGAGGGATTTTGAGCACACCAAAAAGGAAAAAGACAAAAGGGGAAAAGGAAAAATGCCACCAGGCCAAGTCACCCATAGAAGCCCAACAAACGAACAGGTACACAAACCTAGCTGGCTAGGCTAGAGGTCAAAATAGAAGCAATTGTCTGCTTATCAACGCTGGAGCACAGGCTGGAGACAACGATCCCTTTGTGCTCTGGAGCACAGTGGAGGCGGCGTCCCCTGCTACTGCAGCGCAAACTGGAGGCAGCGTGCCCTGCTGCTGGATCGACCAGGGAAGGCAGCTGCTGCCACCAGTGCTGCTGGATCGAGGGAGGAGGACAGCAACTCCTCCTGCACAGTATCCCGCAGATCTGCCACTCTCCCTGTGTCCCACACACTTTCTCTCTGTCTCGTGCTCTATTTCTCCCATGCTTCCTCTATGATTGTCTCTCACCAGAATCTACCCCCCACCTATAGAGTACATGCACCACCTGCAAATGGTTTCTGAGTTGCACCCCTCTGGTTGGCCCGTAGATTCTCATCTAGATTAATTAGAATATTTCGGTGGGTGAATTCTAATTCAAAAGTATGCATATCCTAAATTAGCTCATTTATTCTGGTACATACGTTTACCAATTATTATTGTGGCTCAGATCAAAATGTCAGATAATTCGTACAGGTACATCATGACAGCTCAAAATTGAAATTCCTCTCTATCCTTCCCCAATTCCTTTACCATTATAACCTATATTGTCGGGTACCTACGGAAATCTGAATTTACTCAAAGAGGCACATAAGTCCCCACCAAATTCACAACCGAATCGCATCAAACGTCACAGATCAACAGACAAAATCACACGATCGCAAGGCGACGTCCTCAAGGCAACAACGGCATGCGTATCTGTGGGCGTACCTTTCTCCTTGAGGAGCTCCTCGCGGCGGCGCTTGCGGTGGCGCGCCCAGTCGGCGAGGCCACCTCCTCCGGCACCGCCGCCGCTGGAGCCCGGCGTGTCGTCATCCCCGGCGACGACCTCGATCCGCAATTCCCGGTCGGAGAAGTTGACCTCGTTGAAGGCGAACTCAAAGCTGGGCCCCCCGCCTCCGGGCGAGAAGTCCGGGTCCATCTCCGCCGCCGCGGTCGCGTGCGCGCCGACCAGCCTCCTCCCGCCGCCTACTGGACGGGAAGTGGGGGAGGCGTGGAAGGCGGTGGCCGTAACCCTAGCCGGCGGAGGGCTCGAGGGGGGAGGGCTAAATGAGAAAAGTGTGGCCGGGAGGGGAAGGAGGAGGAGGAGACAGAAGGGAAGACGGTGGTGGTTATAATAAGGAGGGAACGGAGGGGGCAAGATGGGAAAAGGGGGCTTCAAACGTTTTGGTCGTGGTGGTGCCGCGATAGCGGCGTTGAATTCGTGCTCGGAATTGTTAGTTTGGCATGCCGTCTTCGGCGTTCCAATTCAAAAATATTCAATTACTTGTACTACTTTATGTAAATAATTTATCTAATAATATACTTCCTCCGTTTTATATTATAAGTCACTTTAATTTTTTTTTGTTTATCATTTTGCTATGTATCTAAACATATTATTTATCTAGATCTATAACAAAACGAATATAAAAAAATCAAAACGACTTATAATTTGGAACGGAGAGAGTACAATTTTAGATGTAGAAACATTAGAGTAGCACTAATATATTTTGTTAAGTAATGCAAACAACTACTCTCTCGGTCCATAGGATAGATCCTAATCTTTAAAGTTCATCCATAAATATAAGGGACGTGAGTGCATTAGGACACTAATCAAAATAACTTACTCACTTCTAGATTTAACTAGTTTTCGTGAATGAAATATCTATAATAATATACAATTTTAGTGATGTAGAAACATTAGAGTAATGCTAATATATTTTTTATAATAATGCAAACAATTACTCCCTCATTCCACAAAATAGATCCTAACCTAAATTTTGTCCATGAATAAAGAGGTTGTGAGTTATTAGGCCAGTATCAGTGGGGTTTTCATGTCTCATAGGCTAGTCTCGAAAGGAGTTTCATTAGAGTTTTATGGGTATTAAATAAGCTATCAACTTAGCAAATATGTTGACATGACACCATATAAATGCATAGAGAGATTATCAAAGTTTGATGAGAATGAAACTAGTCTAAATTGTTTCCAACACATGAGAGTATTAGAAACTAGGGCATGAAACCTCTACTAAGATTAGCCTAATACACTCACATACACTAATCAAAATAACTTGGCATTTAATGACACAAATCTTATTAATGGCATGGGTAACTTGCCATTTAATCCCATGACTTATGTAAATCAAAGCAAATTCCTTATGATTTAGTGAGGAGTACACGCAAATTTTTCTATCAACCTTAAATTGTTGTAGAGGTCCTAGAATCCTGAATATTCATAGAAGGAGTGAATATGTGACGAACAAAATTTGAAGTCAAATTTAGAAATAAACCATGCTGAAAAATTCATTACCGAAATAAACAAAGTGGACAATTCTAGTAACCAATATATGCACTCGCTCAACCTGATATCTGGTGCTGAATTTTCTTTTATTCAGCCACGAATATAGATGGCTTTTAAAACATTAACATGATTCAAAACAAATCTCATAATTAATGTCTTTTAGTAGTAAGCAAAAAAAACATTGTGGGCTGATAAAATGTCGATGACCATACTTATTAGGATGCCATAATAATGTTTTTAGGGAAGGGATGCTATAAGAAATGGATATGCTGTGTTGTGCCGGTGTCCACGAATAATATCAAGGTTTTTTCTTGGCCACTTCTTGTAGCTATGTTGAGTGCTAGAAATATCCTCAAGCCCTAAAGAGAAAGAAAAGCAATTATGTGTCGACCATAGTGTCGTGTCACACCCACTCAGAGGATATAGCACTCTCCACCTTTTCGTTAGTGTCAATTCAGTACAATTCGTTGGCAACATAAAGATCCCAACTGAGTTTTTTCCTCCCCTTTTTCCACATTATAAAGCCAGTAAAACAAAATTATCCATGGAATTTTTTATCGAATGAATACACCTGCACGATGATATTTTTACTGAGATATTGAAAAGCTAACGCTTTATTCCACTAGTCCTCTTTGGAGACCCTCATATGGATGCCCTCGCAAGGGTCAAGCTCTGTATCGATAACTTTGCGGGTAGCTCACGGGCCTTCACCACATGCAAGGGGGTCTCCATCAAGTCTCTCCCAAATCGCTCCCCACCATCTCCACTGGATGACCTTCGGCCAAAATGTTGAGGGCGTCATGTCCCTTGTACGTCACCGGCGGCCACTCCACAAACTCAGTTTGGAAGGCCTCACAAGATTTACAAGCCCGGAGGAATAAGGGACTAGGTACGTGTAAGCACCGATAGCAAAGATGTATGCAAATCTCTTTAAACACTAAGTCTAAAACTAGACTAAGCGCTAAAGCGGTCTCTAACTAGCCTAAGCACCAATCCTATCGCTTTTGCTAATCGCCTTATCTTCTTTTAGGCACATATGATGACTAGAGCATAAGAAATGAGCCTCAACTCAACTATAGCTTCAGCAAGCTCTAACACACTCTAAATGGCCCACCGAAGAGGGTATATACATACCGCCCCACAAGTACCAACTAGCCATTGGGAGTTCGGGTTGCAAAAGCAGGGTGCACCGAATGGCTCCGATGACCACATCTAAGAATTATGGTGCCCTCTGTTGTGCAAACTAACCGCTATCGACCTTTGTATTTAACCTCTGGTGGTTTGTCTGATGCCCCACAAGAGAGATCACGTGTTAAGTGGGAGTGCAATCTTCTCTAGACTGAAACTCTAGTGCATCATCTGTTGCACCCACTAGAGAACTTTGATGCACTGTGATGCCCTCCGGTGCTCTCATTATCTCCACCATCGTGCCACTGTCTCAAGAGGAGAGGGAAGGAAGGAGAAAGAAGGTTGGATGATAGCGTGGTGCCTATATATAGGCGAGTTGCGCCACAACGCCTGGCGCGACTTTAGCATGTAGCTCGACTCAACTGTCAGTCGTGCCATGCCCGATGACACAACCAAAAGAACCGGTTGTTAAAAATTTAGTTACAGGCATGTTATTATTAAAATATTAGCTTTTTCAGGTTAAAAGTATCGAATTTAGACATTTAGTTGCTCACTCCAACCCTAATAACGAGCTAAGTAGGTAACACCGTCCTCTCTCTCCTGCCTCTCCCCTCTTGCTCCCTCTTGTCCATGCTGAAGTCTGAGTTTCGTGTGTAAGGGCCTGTTTGGCCTGGCTCTCTTGGGCACTATAGCGCCATGTAGCACAGAGCAGGAGACAGAGAAAGGCAGCTCCACAGGCTCTAGAGAGGAAGACAGGAGCCGGAGCTAGTTTATGAGTTGTACAGGAGCGCACAGTAGCACGCGGAGCCGGAGCCCGCGGGCAGGAGCCCTGCCAAAGACGTCCTAAGTGGTAACCCTAGTGGCTGAGAGAAATTTGTAGAGCCTGGACAAGTCTAAGAAAGACTTCACGTACTCGCTCAGTCGCTCCTAATAAGCTGTAAAGTTTGCCGCCCAGATGCACCTGGCCTACCGATGGCGAGCCTGGGCAGCTGCCCTGGGTAGCCAGGCAGTGGCTGCATCACCAGTTAACCTCTAACAACTTAGATATAAAAAGAAAAGAAATAACAAAATTTGGAGGTGTCACGGATATTGTACTGTCAACCACAAAAATTTTAAGGTGCCCATGCGCCATGTACATGTACCATGTTTGCTCATACTCACTCATAGAAACTATTGAGAAATCTGAAAACTTGGCTGTTCAAATGTAGTACATCAAAAGACTTCTAAGCAAAGTATCAGGGAGATAACAAGACACAAGGTGTCATAACCAAAATCCTTCTGAGCCTTGAGCTTTCAGCCTAAAGTGTGCTGGCATCTAACTAACAGCCTAATGGACATGGAAGATGATTCACATATGGAACTAGGATTCATATATTCAGATTCAGATAGCTCATAACCCATGTACACGGATACTGAACCAATTGACACGGCCAAAGGAAATTCCATAGATACAAGTTAGCTATATTACACCTTTGATTTCTTCGTGTGGGCCTAACAGTCAAACCCCAGAATCTGAAGCACTCTCACTTTCTCCGGCTGGTTGAGGAACCACCTGACGCCTTTAACCGGGCATGTCGACCCTCCAGCCTTGCTTGAAGTAATTTTGCCTTCAGGGTGCTCTCCATCACACCTACTGGCTGTTCAGGTGAGCATTCCGTTATCTCAGGGTCCAAAGATGTGGATTGGTATTTCAGTTGCCGCGTTGGGCTGCCGACATTACCCAAATCCCCTGAAGTAGTGCCTTCACAAAATAGACTTGTTCGGGAGAAATGATCAAATGATTCCTGCCCCAGGAAATCAACATGATGCACATCTGGGTTGTTCTTCGTTGACCCATTGTTGGATCCTCGAATAATTTGGTTGCTTGTGCTTCCATTCTGCTCTTCCGCTGAAGTAATTCTGGCATTGCTTTGTGAGTTGATCTCTGGTATTTTACTGGCATGCTGCAGTTTGCTGCTACTGGGCCTTGCCATTCCTTTCTGTGAATAAATTGGCACATTGGACATGCATGGACCTTCAGCAGCTATACCATGAGGATGCTCTGATCTTCTCTTATGCACATCCATGGCACCTGTGCCACTTCTGCGAGATCCCATATGGCCATGCATGTTCAGTTCAAAGCAATTCAAATCACTAGCAATAGAGTCGTCATCATCTTCAGCAAACTGAGGAGCACTGGTGGCCCCATTCAAATGGACAGACTCAAGGGATCGACGTCGCAATCTAGTACTATCATTCATATGTTTTTCATTATTCATAGAGCTACCTGCTTTTTTAGAAAGAAGAAAGGCCTGTATTTCACTGCTGAGCCTTTCTGTTATTGTGGTTTTATGAGGTAATTCCCCATTGATATCAGTATTTTGCATTTGCATTCGCTCATCAAGCCATACTTCTGAAATATGGAGCACTGAATTATCAAAGTTGAGCTCATAACTCTTGACATTTCTTTGCTTTACCACTCTGAGTTCGTCTTCATAGTTCCTGATGCCCATTGCGAACTGGTCACAGAGGTC